TTAGTCTCAAAGGTGCCACAGGACCCTCTGTTGCCTTTTACTAGAGTGTTTATCTTTGTTTGCTGTACTTTGAACCTGAGACTAGAGGGGAGTCCTCTGAGCTCTTTAAGTTTGATTACCCTGTAAGGTTAATTTCCATACTGATTTTACAGAAATGATTTTTACCTTTTTCTTTAATTAAAAGCTTTCTTTTTAGAACCTGATTGATTTTTCCTTGTTTTAAGATCCAAGGGGTTTGGATCTTGATTCACCAGGAGGAAGGAGGGGGGATGGTTAATTTCTCCCTGTTGTAGATCCCAGGGGGGTTGGAACTGTATTCACCAGGAGTTGGTGGGAGGAAGGAGGGGGAATGGTTAATTTCTCCTTGTTTTAAGATCCAAGGGGTTTGGATCTGTACTCACCAGGGAGTTGGTGAAAGGTTTCTCAGGCTTCCCAGGGAGGGAAATGGTGGCAGCAGAACCAGAGCTAAGCTGGTAGTTAAGCTTAGAAGTTTTCATGCAGGCCCCTACATTTGTACCCTAAAGTTCAAAGTGGGGATCCAGCCTTGACAGGTGCGTATGTCTAAAATGGGCTAGTATTAGGGATGTGGCGCAAAGGTTAGCTTTCAGGTCAGTGGCTCTAGCTGCACTATGGTTAGCATTGTGGAGTGTAGGGTTCCTAGCTAAGTTTAGTGGTTAAGAGCGTAGGACTCCTGAGGCTAGGGGTAGGGTTCTGGCGGGTAGGGCTGCTGAGGATAGGGCTGGGTAGGGCTCCCTAGGCTAGTGTTAGGACTGGGCTCCTTGGTCCAGGGTTAGTGTTCAAGTGAACAGGCCTCTCCGGGCTAAGGTTAGGGCTGTAGAGAGTGGGGCTCCCCGGCTTGGGTTAGGGTAGGCATTGTGGAAGGTATAACCCTTAGGACAAGAATAGGATGTGTAGGAGGTCACTAAAATAAGGCTGGAATTGAGGTGGGTTGGCCTCTCTGGTTAGGGTTTTGGAGGGTAGAGTTCCCTGCGGTAAGGTGGGGATTGTGGTGTGCATGGCTCCCCAAGCCAAGGGTAAGGAGCAGGGTAGATGAGAACTCACTAAAGCTAACACACTTCTATTAATTATCTTCATATTAAGTGGATATGCATCACATGAAAATTATGAAGTATGTGAATCAGTGAAGTCAAACTAGTGAGGTTCTACTATAGATTCCAGTTCTGATTTTTTATTCCTTTCCCCTCAGTCATACATCTGTAACACGTTGAACTGTCAAAGGAACACTGTCTTTTGACAAGCCGGTTATGCTACTGTTTTTATAATCACATAGCAAAGCAGGAGATTCTCCCTTAAACTGATTTTACTCAAGCATAGAAGTACAATTATCCAAAGCGTCTAAGAGCTGTGTTTATCTGTGGTGACTATATCTTCCCAGTATACATGCTTGTAATATCTTTAATTTTTAAAGGCATTTTCACCTTCCAGTTTGGGAGCACCAGAAATATTAGTAAACTTAAAATGAAACCTCATTCTCCATAGGTTTCTTCACTCAGACAGTACCCTCCACTAGAAACTTTCATTACTTATATTAGCAGCCCTGTTCTCCAGGGAAGAACCCACTGACGTATACGGATGGCCTGACAACTAGACTGGGTAGTCTGTGACTCCATCTAGGGGAGGCTGGTGGCATCCATGTGCATCCACACAATAGTGCTTTTGACACAATGTAGCTGATAATGAGAGAAGAGCACTTCTTGAAAGGGAGTGCACCTTTCAACGCTTTATACCCCTGCAGAAGCTACTTTAGAATGAAAAGAGCCCTTAGGGAATAAGGAATCTCTTTCTTACATGAATTACATGAGCTCTGGATGATATGACATATATAACACAAACTGAATCTCTCAAAATATTAGAGAGTACAGTTCTGACACTCTGTACCACAGGGAAACATCCAGCATCCCCAGGTTCACCCTTGTAAAATGATTGTGTGGCATCCAATGCAAAGTGTGTCATGTTGTGTGTCTTCAGAAGGCTCATGATACACTGAGCATTGTTGTTACAGTTATGTTATAGTAATGTTATAGGTTATAATTTCATGTATGTAGTTATGAGGCTGAAATATGTATGCTCATGGCTTAAAATAACCCCAGGCAAAAACTCTCCAAGAGCAGAGAGGCAGTTCACACTTCATCAGGGCAGGTATGGGACAAACCCAGCCCAGCCTCACAGGAACAAAGGACACTGGCCTAGGCAGCAACAAAAGGATCTGTTGGACTCTGGAGTGAGTCACCCCCCTTCCTTTGGCCAGTTTGGGACTGCGATGAGGTAATGCTCACCTGACTCTGAAGGAGGAGCGGGGGGGCAAAGCCAAGAGGGAAGAAAGGACATGATAAAAGGGAGAGACGTTTGCCATGCTCTCTCTCTCTCTTCCACCTACATCTACAGACACCCCATCAAGCGACTGAAGCGCCGATCAAAGGGGAGAGCCTGGCTGAAGAACAACCAGCCAGCCTGTGGTGAGAAGCATCTAAGTTTGTAAGGGCAATGAAAGTGTTAAGATCAGCTTAGAATGTGTTTTGCTTTTATTACATTTGATCAAATCTGACTTGTTATGCTTTGATTTATAATCACTTAAAATGTATCTTTGTAGTTAATAAATCTGTTTGTTTATTCTACCTGAAGCAGTGTGTTTGGTTTGAAGTGTGTCAGAGACTCTCCTTGGGATAACAAACCTGGTACATATCAATTTCTTTGTTAAATTGACAAACTCAAACAAGCTTGCAGCATCCAGCGGGCATAACTGGACACTGAAAGACAGAGGTTCCTAGGGTTGTGTTTGGGACCAGAGATATTGGCTAGTGTCATTCGGTTGCACAATCCAAGAGGCAGCTTATGTGCCAGAGGCTGTGCGTGAACAGCCCAGGAGTGGGGGATCTCACAGCAGAGCAGGGTAAGGCTGGCTCCCAGAGTCTAGGATTGGAGAGACCTAGTAGATCACCAGTCCAGATAACACAAGTGGGGAACGTCACAACAGAACAACAGTCAAACTCCTCTAATGGCTCTTTGGGAGTAAAGGAACTGACAGTTAGAGGTTATGATGTACTACATCACATACTCCTATAAACACACTATGCTACAGGCCCTTCCAAGTGCATCTTGCTAGTTGCAACAGGATATTTTGTGATAGTTGAAGATATCACAGTATACAAAACAAATGGCAACAGATGGCATCTTCCACTAATTTAACCACAGGACCTTTATAATTAGGGTGACCTGATGTCCCATTTTTAAAGGGACAGTCTCGTTTTTGGGGACTTTTTCTTATACAGGCGCCTATTATACCCCACCACCTGTCCCGTTTTTTCACAGTTGCTATCTGGTCTCCCTATTTATAATACACTTGAAAGGCTATTAGTTTGTAGTTTAAGTTGATAATTTTACTTTACTCACCAGATCACAGTCTCCAAGATCTAACTTCTCTAAGGTCGAATTAATTTGCAGCATTGAAGCAAAGTACATCCCACCTTTGTTTTCAATTTTGTTGCCAGTCATTCTCAGGTGTAGGAGCGTTTCATTCCTCTAGGCAAGAAAATTTAAAAGGATTTCCCTGAAATGATCTAAGCTGTGATATTATACATTTTACTACAGATTTTTTAATTGTGGCATAAAGACAAAATGTCATCTTCTGTAAGGAATACAGCCAATTGCTAACAGTAACTAAGTAGATGCCTATCTTTTCACTGGGACTAGCTGCCTGAGTAAAGTCTACCAAGAGCATAAGGATTTGAAAGGGTGGGAGGGCTCTGAATTATTTATGGGTATCTGTGCTTCCACTATAATCTACCAATTTTCATATGTATATTAAAGAATTCCAGACTGATATTTGTGTCTAAACTGCTTAAAAATAGAGTTAAATCCATTCATCATTATATTTTATTATAATGGCTGTAATTTCACATATTTAGCTAATAGCTGAATTTTTTAATTTAGAAAACTATAAGTTTGCAGGTCTTTCATCTGCCTTTATCACATGAGTAATCAAAGTACAGACAGTTAAGCTTGTGTAGGGTTACTATACGTCCGGATTTTCCCGGACATGTCCGGCTTTTTGGGCTCCAAATCCCCGTCCGGGGGGAAATCCCAAAAATCGGGACATGTCTGGGAAAATCGGGCCGGGGGCCGGCGGTGCTGGGCCGGGGGCTGGGCCGGCAGTGCTGAGCCGGGGGCCGGGCTGGCAGTGCCGAGCCG